ATTATCGATATTTCCCCATTTGAGGCTATGGGAAAGAATCGATTATTAAGGTGTTCGTTGCGAACAATCTGTCTATCGATCCTTTTCCATAGGTTTAAAAGGCAGATCAATCGATACATCGCAAAACACGCCACGCCAATGACCAGAATACAACCGACACGGCTCGTTGACTGAATTTCGCAGTAATAATTAATTGTAAGGTTTCAATATCCAGTGTAGATCCGAACTTGCCGCAGTTAACATTGAACGGAAATCCTTTTATCGGGTTGAGTCCAACCTTAAAAACTAATTTCGGAATATCTCCCCCGGTACTATTTGGATGTATTTCTATCAAAGGGAACTATGTGCATTATAACGTGAGCCTTGGTATGCATGTATTCTTATGGGTCTCAGGGCTCATGTCGTAATACACATAGTTCCGTTTGATAGAAATACATCCATTTGATCAAATGTGCAGGGTTTGTGCTGAGATCGGAGTCTTTGACCAAAACATCGAGGGCGCATTTAAATTATATTCAGAGCAACTCATCCTGAAGAAACTTTGTTTCCTTCTTATCTTTGTATATCTCTTAGAAACACGGAATTCATGGACTGCTGAGTTGATAAATTATGTTTTATTACTTCCATATCGCTCCTCCAAAGTCTTAAGCGAATTTTATAAGTTCCGAGTAAGTTGAGAGGTTGAAATCTATGACTAAAGAAAGGAAACTTTTACTAGGAATCGGTTGGCTGCTGCGGCTTCCGAACTGAACGGATCCTTCCGATAAATTTTCAACTTCCTCGACCTATGTTATTCAGAGTTTACCAAACCTAGCCGGCGTTTTAAAACTATTCGAACCTATGGTCAAGGGTAGAAATTTTGTTGAAAGCGAGTTTTGCAGTTGAAAATTCATCCGGCGAGTTACATCTTTTGCGTTTCAAAAAGTCTGCTTGAAAATTGATGAGAGATTCATCAGTCCTCCTCGAAGCACTCTCTTTCTCTCTCTCTCCACAAAGCATACACAAATGAAGCGTTGGGTGCAGAAAGGGCGTTTCTCGGTTGCGGTGTTTCAGAATCTCAGCCAGAGGCGGATCCAGCAATTTGGCAACACTGGATTCCTCCATTTAAACCTATGCTAAATAATCGATTCTTGTCGGAGCACCTGGCCTCTCCAAGAATCGATACATTTTCATAGGTTTAAATGGAGGAAATCCGGTGTTGCCAAATTGCTGGATCTGCCAATATCCCCTTATGCAGAAGATGCAGAGAAACGAGCACATGAGATAAGATGAGAGCAACGAGGGTGGATTTCTGAAGGTCAGGAGGAACATCTAGAGCGTCCGTAATAATAGGGTGTATTAGATAATGGTCGTTGAAAATTAAATAATTTTCGACATCGTTTTCAAACAGCTAGTCCAGTTTGGTCATGTTAATAGGATGAGGGAGGGACAACTGCCAAAAAAGATCCGTGGTTGGGTTTCTCTGGGGAAGGAACGAAGGAGGGCCCCACGAGAGGGTATAGGGTCACGAGAGTGACACACAGTCGATGGAGTTAATAGGAGAGGTCGGAAAAAATTTGCAAAATTTTATAGCTCTTAACTTCGTATATACAACACTGGAGGTTTTAGAAGTGGTTCAATTGGATTTCTCGTGCAATTTTCTGCTACAAGCCCCCCCCCCCTGAATTTTAAAATGTGATGGAATTAACATAAAAATTTGCAGTTTCAGTCAACTATTTCATGTCCGGCCTCTCTAATGTCTCAATCCACTGTGCGACGTGTTGCGCCGGCGCAAAACGCGCATTGGCGCCTACAAACCTAACAGGGATACTTCACGCATTGCGCAATGCGTGAAGTATCTCTGTTAGGTTTGTAGGCGCCAATGCGCGTGTCGCGCTGGTCGATCTCGCCTGCCGCGCCGCAGCGTGCCACGGCGCCTCAAGCAACTATTTCACAACTGAGGTGTTGCTCGGTGTAATACGAAATTACAGGCGCTCCAACATATTAAGAATGACAGGCATCCTTAAGGATTTCAGGACAGGGGGTTATACAAGAAATGAGGGATTGCAACTATTTCAAGGTTTGCAAGAGGATACGGGACTGTTGCGGTTAGGTGCTGCAAGGCACCAGAGAGTTGTTCGTTTGTTTGTAGGAGGTGAAGAGTTTTCTGAGACGGGTCTAATGTGGATTGCTTCCATCATAAGTTCGCAAAAGGCATGTATGGATTTTTCATGGTCAGAATATGTTTTGTGGCTTTGAAAATTTCGCATGGGTTAAATGGCAAAATGAATCGCTCATAAACGCGTAAAATTAAATTTTTTCGCGAAATTCGTTTTCAGCATTGTAAAATTAAAAAGAAAATTCAGTAAATGCTTCATCGATTCCATACAATTCGCTTTAATTTTAATGGATGAAATGTTAGCGGAGATCCCGAGACACCGCGACCAGAAAAATGCCCTTTTTGCACCCAGCGTTTCAAATGTGCATGATATTGCCTTATCTCAAGATTACTCGACGCTCTTAATTGTGAATTAATTTTTTTCTCCGGCAGTAAATTAGACCTCTCGACCGTAGTCGACTAGATTTTACATTCGCACCCTAGCTCGCGCACGGCGAACGCACTTAAGATACTTAAAAAAGATAAATTTTTCACAAACGTGTTCTGAATCGCAGTTCTTGATTTCGGAGCCTTGCGAAACTGCGCTTCGGTGAATAAATAAAAAAATAATCAAGGGAAATACCAGGAGGGTGTAAAATAGTATCATTCGTAGGTATTCATGGAGACTGCGTGGTATGCGCCCGCACCCCGAACATTATATTGATCCGCGGATGAGGTCTCTTTCGCTCTGATGTGTTTTAAACTTGATTTACCTCAGACGTATACTACTCTAACCCGAGCTTTTTTGCAAATAAAATAAAGCCCGAAACTCTATTAAAGGAGTTAAAGGCAAAATAAAATTCCGTTTTTACACGTTTGTTTTTGCGAGGGAATAATCTCCCACGGAGTCGGGAGTTTCTCGGGGAGGTGACATAAAACAAAATAATTTATGTCTGCAGACTTCCCATATTGAAACATTTATACCGGGGATCTTTACAGTACAGTTGCCATTATTTATTATCCTATTTAATATTATTAGTCCGTTAATGCGCTCAGTGCTCCAAGTGCAGCGAGGTCCGTCAAAGGAATAAACCGAGAAAGCCAGGCGAAAATTTACGATATGGGGACCAAGTTTTATGTACTTACAGGTGTATCCGCCCTTCCGTCTTTATTTATCCCTTTCCTTTCCCCGCCGAAAAGGCACGAGCTTGAACGACATGATGTTCTTTTAAAGGCGGCAAGACTACCCACTCTCCTCCTTTTCTCCCGCATGCCCTGTCTCCCTGTCTGTTTAATGTCACATCATTCACCAGGTGCTAAATTCGACATTCACCTAATTTACACTTGATCGTAAATGTCCATTTTACCACTTGTTCGCAGCGTGCTATTGCTCCATGATAAAGAGTTAGTCTGCCTCTCCCTTTTCTATAGATTGCACCAGCGGGAGTATCTTATCAGTATAAACTCATTTTTTGAGCAACAGAAATGTTAAATTTTAGCACTGAAAATCTTGGGCTGAGGTGATTCGACGGTTTCCATTTTTTGTGTCAGAGTGACGTGCGATTTATCGCATTAATTCGTTCCATAATTTCAGCTACTTTTCAATTTTTTTCGAACTTTGAGATCGCACTTCTATTGTCACGAGACCAAAGAATTCATGTACCAAATTTGTTAAAAGAAATTCAACGTTTTTTTTTCAGAGTGCATTGCAGAGTTTAGCATTCGAGTGCAGTTTTGATAGGTATCAGTATCGAATACGATATTTTTCCTCAGAAAAACCCTGCCTTTATTACGATGAATTTCTTTGTCAAATTTGGTATATGAGTTCTTTAGTCTCATGACAACAGAAGTGCGATCTCAAAATTCGAAAAAAATGAAAAGTAGCTGAAATTATGGAACGAATCGAAGAATATAAATCGCACGTCGCTCTGACACAAAAAATGGCAACCATCGAATTACCTTAAGAATTTAATAAATGGAGTTTACTTACGAGCGGGGGTTACAGCTGACATTTCTAGACTAAACTAGGCTAGGTGGTTCTGATTTCTAGGCTTGTTTCTAGGGGAATGCTAGATCTAAAACTTTTAGTGCTCGGTTAATAAAGACATAAAGCGCGAGGAAAAATGTGTGTTACTTCTTTAATTGCGCCTTCAATCAGGGAGATATACTCACAAATATGCTCCATGCAATAATGCTGTAGTTGGACCGGTCAATGGTATAACCAAGCATCCCTATTATTCAATAAACCGTACAAATGAGGCATTTCTCAGAACTCCTAGACTCAACGAGCTAAATGTACTTTTCATATTTTGACATTGGTGATATCGATGACTGATAAAGATAGGTATCTGAATAAATGGGTGCTGTGGTATATACATATAGGTATCTCCTTCCGTAGTAACGCCTATCTACCTTCAACTAGCAGCTTGAAAACTAATGATTTTTAGTTTGTGTTTTTTATTTTAATCCCGCTGTTTTTAAAATCAGTTTTCTTAATCCAAATATTTTTGTACCCTTGATATTCTTGAAAAAGCAGAGCTAACCGAACGCATCTACGCAAAAAATGCCACTCGTAATCTGCAAGAACGCAAAGAGTAATTCGAATGACCTTAAAATTCATTATAAAGACGTAAGTGATGGACGCCTTTGAGAATGGACGTTTAAACTGAATGAAATTGATAAGTGACTATCTGCAAATGAATTTGATTTTATCAACAAAAGGTAGTCACATTGACATTCAGTGGTAAAAATTCGAGTATTCAAGTAAAATTTGAAGCTGCATTTAGTATCTATATATCTACATCAGCAGTAATTGCATTCCTGAATGAGCGTGATCATTCCGTTTGAACTGAGAAAAAAAAAAAAAGATTCTAGCTCAGGCTTATCTTATCGATGAACATTGATTATGAGCTTCGAATCAAACGAAACACGGGCCCACTTTTACTATTAGTTTGGTCAACCCTTCTAAAATTTTACGCGCCGAAGAATTTGGACACTGAAACGATGACTCCACTCTTAATACAGTATAATTCGAGCTTTTAGAAAGCCTCCTTTTCAGAAATAGTTTCTTTTTTTTCACAGTGGTCATCTCTAGAGGCCTTTTGTGTTTTTCTTTCATTTTGTGTGTGTGATGTGTTAACATGGTCTCATTTTGGGACTCGATATCGCAGCGAAAGACTTTTACGTCGATAGCAAAAGAGGAGTCTAAACTCAAAAGAGTCCTGACCACCTATGACTTGACAGCTTTGAGTATTGGCAGTACACTCGGAATCGGTATTTACGTTCTTCCGGGAGCTGTAGCCAAAAATGTCGCCGGACCCAGCGTTGTTCTTTCTTTTGTTCTCGCTGCCTTTGCGTGCGTCCTTTCCGGTAAGTAACGTACCTTTACTCTGTCAAAAAAATTTCCTCAATCAAAAGCACCTATCTATAACTTTTGAAAATAATAATAATGAAAAAAAATTAGGTTTAATATCACATCATGTTTTTGGATAATCATTTTTTTTTCTTTAATAAATGAGGTGAAGTTGTCATCAAATCTGTAAAACCAACCTAGCTACGGGACCTGAAATTTAATATATCACCCGGGATGATATTTTGCAAAGCTTCTAAAATGCTGCATACTGCCGTAACCATAATGCTAATTTTCTCTCATTTTCATCTCTCAAAATTTTGCATCCGTCTTTTACAAGAGCAATTTACTCGCTTGATTTATAAAACTTTCGGTCCATCATTTTACTGCAGAGCCACTAATTCAAAGTGAAAAATAATTATCAGTGAAAAAAACTGCATTGGATCATAGGCGTTTCAAAAGAAGAGATTTAAATGTACAAGATGAAACTTCAAGGGAGTTGAATCCAAGGTAGTTCCGAGGCGTGTCTGCAATTTCCGTATTCCAGGACCTAGGTTCATCCATTTTACTATTCCAAAAAATTATGAGAGAGCAAAACGTTTGTTTATTTTCCTAATTCCATTTGGGATTAAAAACTTTGATGGTATAGCTCTAAACTCTGAATCTCTGTGTAATAGTGGGGAGAGGGACACCTTTGCTGCTTTCAGGTTAGTTCTTCTCAACCTGGATGATACGGTATGGATATATTAATGTTGTTAATTTCTTCTCAGGAATTTGTTATGCTGAGCTCAGTTCGAGAGTGCCAAAGGCAGGGTCTGCCTATATCTATGCCTATGTAACGGTTGGCGAACTAATGGCTTTTATCATTGGATGGGTAGTCATCATGGAATACGTAATAGGTAAGGCGCGCATGTTCTCAAGGCATAGCCTTGTAAAAATAATACGCAAATCTTATGAAACGCGTACCTGCGAGCACAAAAGGGGAAACATACTTTCAACGATCTGACTTATCTACTTTTATACTTAATGACCTCAATCCTTTTTTTTTTTTTTAAAAAAAAGAAGAAAATTAGTACACTAATAATCTACTCTTTCACCCAAAAAAATGGAAATTTACATAAATTAAAAGCTTATCTTCAACCTGAATGAATCTTCAAGTTTCCATGATGTTTTCATGTTGCCCATGTTGACATTTCTTTTACAAGAGAATATGTTTCTAGAAATTTTAAATCAGATCCTGCCCAACTGAAAGACTGTATTTTAGGTGAGTCTCAAAGTTTTATAGTTTATTTTATGAAGATACACCAACATTTTTCTGAAGTCAAATTGGTTAACTACACAAATTCTTCCGGTTGTAAATACCTTTTTTTTTTTTTTTTAAAAAAAAAAATTAGATGCTTGAATTTGCTTGTATTATTTGATATTTGTTGTATTATCAAGAGTCCCTAGACCTTTAATGAGATTTTTGACTGTTTCAGGTGCCTCCAGTGTTGCTCGAGGCCTAAGTGTTTATGTAGACTCTCTGTTTAATGGGACGATGGAAGCAACTTTTCGTGAGGTCTACCAGATCGAAAATGTACCGTTTCTTTCACCTTATTTCGACTTTTTTACATGTGCTGTCTGCATCATTTTAGGAAGTGAGTATTAATGATTGTAAAAGTTTTTCACCTCTGCATATTTTTGAGAAATATTTATAACTGGGTGGATTACCCCCCTGACTGCTCCGCGGTCCAACTTTCCGAACGGCTTTGCGCGAGGCGTTATGTATTATGCGTCATACGCGTCACTCTTATGACTTCATATATTTTTTTTAAAAAAAATATCAAAAGTAGAATTTTATTTTATTTCATATTGAGACTTCAGTTTTCTCATTTTTTTTATTTCAACAATTTAATCCGTTTTTAGTTGCTCTGAGTGTGGGTCTCAAAGAATCAGCGCGAATGAACAATGTGCTAGTGGTCATTAATGTCGCCGTTATGCTGATTGTCATAGGAGTTGGAAGTCTGGAAGGTAAGCGATGATGTCCAGTTTTTATGCGTTTTTCCTCCTAAAAAATTACATTAAGAATTATTAAAAATTAAGATTAAAGAAATGTATTAATTCAGATTAGAATCATTATAATCTCTGTCAGAGCTTCTTCATAATTGCCTTACATCTATCTGACAATACACTGATTCTTTACTTTCAAAAAGCTAATTGTTTATGTTCAAATTGTAATTAAGAGAGTTAAATTATCTATCAATGGTAGGAAAAAACACACAAAAAATCACCCCCGTTCCATCCTTAAATTGCATTTTTTAAATTTTTTTTTTATTTGTTTTATATTTTTTTAAAAATCATCAATGAACTTGTATATTATTTTTATTTATTCAGCCAACTTCCATAACTGGGCACTGACTCCCAAAGAGGTGCCCTCCGGTTATGGGGTCGGAGGTTTCTTTCCGTATGGTGTCACAGGGGCAATAGCTGGAGCAGCAACATGTTTTTACGGATTTGTCGGTTTTGATTCCATCACAACCACAGGTAATGTATTTTTAACTCAGCCTAGCGGTTAAAAGTAGATGAGAAAGAACTTTGACTATTGAACCTTTTTACTGCGCAAATTGTACACAATGTATGTTCTGCGCCCGTATTTTGATGACCCAAAAACAAAAATTCCGCCTTTTTGCAAACTGACGATTTTGCAGAACCAAGAAAAAAACTTCGCCATTTTTGTAATTTTGAGGATAGAATTGCAAATTTTAGCATGCATTACAGCGTCATTACAGCGCTGTCTTGCGGAATTGTAAAAAAATTAATAACACTATCTTGCGTATTTTATAGTCTAGAATACGACAAAGTTGCTTACTCATTTTCGCCAACATTGTCTGTTAGGCGGTGCTGTTCCTTAGCCGTCGATTAACATCCTTTTCTTGTTCAGTAACTGAATCAAAGTTTAAAACTTTTTAAGATTGGATTGAATTTAATAATTGGTCTCACATTTCCGATTGATTTCTTCTCTTCTTTTGCATGCATTTTCAGCGAAGTATCTCGAAACCGTTATTATTTAAAGATGATTCTTTTTTTTAATTTTCTATCGTAGGTGAGGAGGTAGAAAACCCACAGAGAGCGTTACCTTTATCAATCATTCTTTCCCTGACAATAATTTGCGTCTTATATTGTGGAGTGGCAATTGTTTTGACATTAATGTGGCCCTACTATTTACAGGTATACTATTGTCATATTTGTATCTAATTAAAGGGAAGTTCCACCCATAAATTTTTATTTGGTGTAAGATTGTGTTTTTCCAACGGCTTTTTTAAGCTACCTATGCTATTTGAGGGAAAACATAATGGCGGTGAATGTACTAAAAACTGATACATTATTCAAACTTCATCTACATGATTTTAAGGCTTGTTAGTCGACGAATGCCGACATTTTTCATCATACAAAAATTACAAAATACAGAGGGTAGCTGTCTCTTCAATTCTAATGAAATATTATAATATTGATGACAAAATATTTTTCGGACATTTAACCTCACTATGGACGCTACCTATGTTTCCTGTTAGATTATCAAGTTAGTTACTTTTCATTTTCCGATACATTGGTAAAAAAAAAAATTCTTTTTTTTAAATTTTTATTTTAGGACGTTAATGCACCCTTACCATACGTCTTCGGTCAAATCGGCTGGCCTTGGGTGCAGTGGGTAGTCACAATTGGAGGCATAGTTGGGACCTTTGCGAGGTAAAAGCATTTAATCAATTTCTATTTTATACAGAGTTTTTAAACGCTTCTTGACACATGCTAGGGATATGCTCTCCTTGAATTCTACGAGGATCTTCATCTGTTGATCTTTCGATCTAGGAGGATATTTTTTAAAGATCTTGATGGAATTTCATCCGTATGCTTTATATGTATGTGTTATTTTCTTAAATTGTGAACCAGCTAAAATTATTTGACTGCTCTCTTTCCTAATCTTAGTTTAATAGGATCACTTCTTCCAATCCCTCGCGTAGTATATTCAATGGCTGATGACGGCTTACTGTTTAAGTTCTTGGCTACTGTACATCCAAAATTTGGAACTCCTTTTACTGCAACTCTAGTTACGTCAGTCATCGCTGGTAAGTGCTATACAATATTTTCATCAGTGCTTTGAATTTTATGAAGTAGCCGCACTTCATTTTTTGAAAAAGGAACAATCATAAAAAGGAAGATTTAATCAGAAGTTATGATAACTCACCTCTATTCCCTGTCATCAACAATATGATAAGCACTATACTCAACGACTGGTAGTCTCAGACGAGGATTGACTGGATCCAGAGGTATGGTGTGCTTTGCATTACATCGATTGATCTGTTATTTAAACCTGAGGAAAAGGATCGATATTTTTTGTATTATATTTTTTGGCGATAAAATCGCAAGGACCATCAACATTTGAGCGATTATCATCGATCTTGTCGCAATATTATCTTTGTTAAATCGTGTTCGATAAAATCAAAACGTTACCTCAGTAAATCACAATTTTTTGTTCGATGACATTGCAATAAATTATTGTTGAAAAAATCGAGCTATTATTGCAAATTTCAACGATAAAATCACAATTTGTTATCCGATAAGATTGCAATAAACAGACGTCGATAAAATCGCTGTGATCAAATCGCAACTTTTCGCCAAACTACTACTTAGGACCTTAGCCGGCCTCTCCATTGCCTAGCATGTAGCGACGCATGTCAATTTTAGAAATGCAGATATACTCGGATATGCAAGCTTAATCTTTCGCATTGCGTTAAACTCGAGTGTTTGGCGCAATGCATGAAGTATTCCTGCACTCTTGTAGGCGCTAATATGCGTGTCGCACCGACCAGCGACCGCACTGTGTTTGGCTCAATGCGTGAAGTATTTCTGCTGTCTCGTAGGCGCTGATCTGCGTTTCGCACCGATCGCCGCGCACCGGCCACACTATGTTTGATGATACAGCATTAGATCGAAAGAAGAAGCAGAGGAGAGATAATGAGTTTGAAGAATAATGGCTGGGTAAAATTTCATGCAAGCTCATGCAGAATGCACACAAAAATACTTAAATAAAGATCTATCGTAAATTAAGTGAAAACTAGAAGCAGAAGCTAATGCGAGTAAATCTTCACTTGTGAAAAAGAGACTTACATCGAAGGAAAATTTTGACGGAAATAGACAGTTATTTTGCCAGTGACGAAATTTTGCGGCGCATAATTCGATTGTTTGAATTTTATGTCATTTTTAGGAGTATTGGGAGGTATATTCAATCTGAAGCAATTAGTTGACTTGATGTCCATCGGAACTTTGCTTGCATTTACTTTAGTAGCTGTCTGCGTTCTAATTCTGAGGTGAGCAGGCGTTCGTTTAAGTTTTGTATTCGATGATGATTCCATAAATTATTGGAATATTTATTTTTCTAAAAAAAAAAAAAAAAAAAAAAAAAAAAAAAAAAAAAAAACAGTATTTGAACCAAAATGTTCGGTACATGGATGTACAATAGTGGTATTGTATATAGACGGACCAAAAAAGGCCTGTCATTATTTTCATCCGTACATTCGTGCTACATATTCCAAGAATCGAGCTTTTATAGTTGAGAGCCCAGAAATCCTCGTTTAAAGCTAAAAAATATAGGAAAGGTCTCCTCTCACGGACCAACCTTTCCCCCAAAAGTCTGTTTTTTTTATGCATGCTTTTGGGTTGATCCGATACAGTTAAACTCGTTTATCATCAAAAACTTGAAATTTTAATCGACAAGAATTGGTCAAGCTGTGGATATTTTCGACTTTCTTCCTTCAAAGAGTGAAAAAAAAAAAAATGACTTACACCGAATAAGTTTATATCGCTGAATATTTAGGTCTCGTGTTTATTTCCGTTCCAGATATCGGGATGAACCGGATGAAAATTGTATGTTGATTAATTCGGAAATCGGAGAATCGTCACGACTGACGCAAGTTTGGCTCGGCGAAAAGACCACCGTCAAGAAGATTTTCAAACAGCTCTGGAATTGGAACAAACTTACGATTCCCACCTACTTGTCCAGCGCAATTGTCACTGTTGAAACCATTCTTTTCGGTTAGTGTATCACTAGAAATCATTTTTTCCGAGTCCGGCTCGGTATCCTAGGCGGCCACCTATTTTTTGAACTCACAATCAGCCGGACAGCCCTACACCTAGCAGAAAAAAAACATTTTAAAATTTTTGGTTTCACTGGCATTTACTTGAAGAAATAGAAAAAGAAGTGGCTAGTTATTGGGATGTAGGGAGCTAGAGTAGGGAGTAAGCTCTAAAATGAAACCACTGCTTTCAAACATATAAGAATTAATCGTTAGATAAAAAATAAAAAAAAAAAAAACAATAAAAGAACAGAAAAAACGAACGAAAAGTTAGCAACTGACTGCGTGAGAAACAAACTCTAAAATATCAACTGAAGGAAAATTTTGGATTTGAGAGGATGGAAACTCCCAAGAAGTGCAGCGCTAACGCAGTTCAAAAGACGAAATTAGATCTGCCGATAGTAATATCTAGGTCCAGAAAACGTTGAAAATCCTCTACTAAAACTAGGTGTTGGAAGGTTGGCCAACATATACCAGTAATTAATTATTGAATTGGAGTCGGAAGGAAATACATACATACCTAATTGGACGTATTTCTGCCAAAAAGAACTATGTGTATTGAGAAATGAGCCCCGAGACTCATAAAAATATATACATACCAGGGCTCATGTCATAATTCACACAGTTCCGTTTGGTAGAAATACGTCCAATTGATATTAAATAACGTTGCTTCTTTTGAAAAATGGAGAACGGTATCGCAGCAATTTAAGAATGGAATGATGACGCGGATATTGATTGATTATTATTTTTCTTTTCTTTTTTTCAGTCTCATGCTCCATCGGACTCGTGTCATTGGTCAATTATAAAGCATCGCTTGATGCTTCAAATTTTGCAGTGTATACCATAATTACTGTTTCCGTTATGATTTTTCTTCTTATTTCAATAAGTCTTCAGCCTACATCTTTGATTTCTCTTCAGTTTAAGGTAATTAATCTCTATTGATGTCAATATTTTCCCAGTCGTCGAATTACTCCTTTGATTGCTCGAACTGAACTGAGGACTATTATCAAAATTTGTCTTCTGAACTTGTACCGTCACTTTGACAAAACACATGTTTCAAATTTCAGTATGACTTTGAAAAGATTATTTAAGTCAAACTCTTCAAAGCTCCTGGTTACCTAAAATTAAATTTTCCGTTTGTGATCTCTCTAAAATTAGGTATTCTGTGACAATAATTTCCTGTCTTACCATTCGCAGGTTCCTTTCGTGCCTATTTTACCTGCCATCAGTATTATGTTTAATGTATATTTGATGTTGCTCCTCGACTTGGCCACATGGATCAGATTTGTTTCTTGGCTATCTGTAGGTGAGTTCATATTTTGATACTTTTATCGCCGTGATTTGAGTCAGAGGTGCAGCTTACTTTTGTCTATATAGAAGTTTAAGAATTTTGTGTATTTTTTTTTTACAAAAGATGAACATTTTTGGCTCATGACAACCAAGGTAATCTTGCAAATTTCATGGTTAAGATACAAACTTTAATTGAGTTCCCAAATCGAAGTTTGGGAAAGAACGAAATCTCAAAATACAGTCCCTGGCTGAGAAATGAAACGAAGCATTTACAAATAAATGTCCAAAAAATATTAGACGTTTATCAATATGACATATTTTTACAAAAAGATTCTGAATATTCTTCCCATTTTTGCAGGTTTTGTAATTTACTTCTGCTATGGCATAACTCATAGCTCAGAGAGAAAATCTGCAATCCAGAATCAGCGGGAGTGTAGTGGTGGATATGATACTTTGAGCCCTAATATTTCCATAGTGAGGGATCCTATCCTGTAATTGTGCTCTATTAGTGATTCACCAACAGAAATAAAGCGATCAAGTGGTTAAAGGGAATGGATAAATCAATGAAAGAAGACAAACATTCATATTTTTCATAGGTACCAATTGTCATCGGGGGGGGGGGGGATGGGGTTATCTAGATTGTAATTTTTTTTAAATAAATTTAAAAAATATCGTAAACGATCAAACTTGTATACATTTATCCTATAAGTACCTTTCAGTAATCACACATCGTTACAGTGTTTCGACGGTCTAACTACCAGACCACTTATCTCAGTTTGCGACTTTGCAGACATCTTGTCTTACTTTATTTTTTAAACGAAAAGCCACTCAACGTCAATTCCCGAAAACTCCTTTGATTTTCCCTCTCTAAGCGAAGAAAACTCCGTGAAAATCTCAAGTAATGATATTGATTTGCTCTCCCTAAAAAAATAAAATAAAATGGGAGCGGAGATTTTTAAACACCAGAAACGAGATACGTGATCTGGTAATTTCACCATCGATATGGTGAATCGTGATCAGTCACACATGAATAGATCACTTTAGAAATGTTCAATTTTTTTTTTTTTTAAAATGAAACCACGAATGCGCATTTAAGTGCCTGGTTTTTAACCCCTTCTGGAGACCATCCATTCCCTTCCTTCAAAAAGAGAGAGAATAGAAGTTCCGACCCGAATGACTCGAAAATAATCCAAACCCCTATCCTAGTGGTCCGAGTTGAGCCGGCGAGCCCTCCGTGTTGCGGGGTGGTATAATAAACTCGGAAGCGACCAGAGTCGGAAGAACTTCGCCCTAACTCAAATTGAAGTGTCCATCATTTTAATTGGGCTTTCATGATCGCGTTATCAACTGTCTCTCGATGGAACATCGTAATTATGCCAGCTGCAAACGCCGCGGCCGTCAAAGTTTTCAAGTGTTTGATGATAATTACGAAAACCCCTCGATGGGCCGCCCGCGAGACGAATGCCAGTCTCAAGAAAAGCCATGCAAATTTCATGTCCTCGCAGCCCTGGCGCCGATACGTTCAGTTGCGTGGCGTGAATTGCGATAGATCGATTGATATGTAATTTAAACCTATGGTAAAGAATCGATTATTAAGGTGTTCGCTGCGAACACCCTGTTGATCGATCCTTTTCCATAGGTTTAAATGACAGATCATTCGATACATCGCAAAGCACGCCACGCCACTGGATACGTTGAAAACGAGCAGCCCAGGCACATTGCCGATAGCCCCGGTTTATATTCATTTAGCCATTCTTTTCTGTCTGCGGGAAAAGGAAAACTGGTCCGCGCTAAGCAGGAAGGAGCCAAGCCACATCAGTTACTGCCAAAAGCTGGGTAATTTAATTTTATACGAGAGAACGTTTGTGCGGATTCCTTTGACAATTTTAAGGAATTTGCTTCGTACTATGCAGAAATTTCACTAAAATTTGCGCAAAAATCAGCACAATCGTTTTCGTGTAAAAAATTAAATCGCTCAATTAAAGTTGGCAGTAGATGGTGTGGCTTAGTTCCTTTCTGCTTAACGCGGTCCATGTATGAATAAGCTCCTTATTGAAAGCTGGATATGGAGCGATACCGAGAACTCCCGATAAAATATGCTTAAATCTGCACAAGCACAGAGACAGCCCCGCAGCTATTTCGGCATTATCAGGCTTTTAAGTCACAAACCAGCATTTTCCTAGCTCGGATCCGTATTTGTAGGCACCGTTCCGAACACATGTGGATTATGTCTCATGTCAATCCTCCATATTCATCTTTTTACCTTGGTTCCTGTTCGTCAACTTTTTGTCTCGGGAAAAGTGATGCATTTAAAATGCGATTGATTCCTCTCTCTGTCCCTGTATATATATCGTAAAAAATGAGCTTCCATTTCCACGTGATGGGAAGTCGAAGTCAACCGTGGGTTTCCTACTTTCTGTAGTGTTGCCAAGAGAAATTCGTGGTCGACTTCAGCCCTCTATAACAAAACGTGAAAAGGATGATCTCACCAATACTTCAATTTATTCTTCATATCGTCACCTTCCGGCAAAAGTATCACAAGCGCTATGCGACGTTTCAAGATTTCTGCCGCCATTTGATTTTTTTACATTTAAATTGTTGGTTGAATCTATTTGAAAATTTCACTGAATTTTATAGGCAGCACAAAGAGCATTCAGCGAAATTTTCGGACAGCTTCGTTGAAAAATTTCTCTGTAAAAAATAAAATGGCGGTGAAAATTTTGAAACGGCGCATGACGCATGTGATACTTTGGAAGGTGAAAGGTATGACGATACATAGTATAATATTCCCGAACGAAATCTCAAATTGTGGACGCGCAGGAATTTCCAAACAAACTTTTTTCTAATGTGACCACAGACCTCCGGGATGGTAATGTTTAATTCATTTCATTCGAACCAGGAGGTACGCCCCCGATCGCCTGGCGGTCCAACCCCTCGAGGTATTCGCGCCTTAGGCGTTATACCTTACGCGCCACTTATACCTCTATGTAATTGTATGTTTGATTTCACTCCATCTTCTACTCTATGTCTGACCTTTGTGCCATTTACTTACGTATCAGCCTTGCTCATTGACGGCGATACGCGAGTGATGCACTTTGAAAATGCACGAAATTTGGCATCAGTGCGGCTGGACTTGTGGATTATGTGTCATCCCCTACGGTGTCATGTTAATTTTGAAGTGTCGGGAATTCATCGGATTTTAATGAGCGGTGTTTCCGCCCATCTCAATGTATTTTTCAATGAAACCGAAACAAAGCCACAGCCATAGGGCTATCAACTTTCGCATTATACTTTTTAGAGGAGTTTTTTTATTGTTTTTCAGGAATTGCTAATGATAATTTCAATTTAAAGCCTACTGGGTATATGCTGAGTTCAGTCGATTTAAAGTTATCAATGTAACTTAGACAAACTGCATTTATGCACATATTGTTGACGTAAATTTCCTCTCAGCATAAAAAATCTTAGCCGCTTTTTGATTGACGTTACCGATTTTAGGCCATCGTGGGGCGTTCAGGAACCAATTTAAACAAATAAGATGGCGACATCGGTTTCCCAGTGAACAGAATTGAAATGAAATATTGGAAATTTCAGTGAAATGTTTCACGAAATTTTACGAGGCTGTGAAATATTTCATATTTTCAGTATAATTCACATTTTTTAGGAGCTGCATTATGCAACCTGCACTCAAACACACAAAAATAGAAGGAAGTCAAAAAATTAACATTTTACGAAACACGAGAAGGAACCGGTGTTTTTCAATATCTTCCATGGATTTTTGAAACTTTCACGAAATATTTCACCTGAAATTCCAAGAGTTCATTCTTCATGAAATTTTGCCACCCTGGGCGACATGGCAATATTCTCCCTGCATAGGCCTTCGAACGTAACCCATATTTTGAAGGGCGAAATCAAGGAAAGCTGTGACAAAGTGGTAACATTGGACGAAGCTTTCTCTCCTCCGGTGACAGCGTCAGCGTCAAGGGACGGCGCGGCGGCGGCGGCGGCGGCGGTGGGCGACCGACGCGATGGGCGATGGGTGACGGCGATAAAGTCACAAGGCTGAGTAACTTAACCACTCAGCCGTTGAGGACGGAGCCAAAGGCGGACAAAGACAAGAAACTGAGAAGAACCTTTCATTAATTACTCAAAGGCCCGGTCCCGGATTAATCTGCCAGCTGTCTGTGGAATCTGATCGCCGCGCCAGAGCATAAGCGCCACCAGACCGCGCTCCCTACCCCGCCCCCTCCTCATATCTCACCCCCTCGGTGGCGCCAAACCCCCCTCATACGTGCCCACCTCGGAGACACTGCCGTAATTAAGGGGGCAATACCCCCCCTCTTCTCCGCCTCGGAGCAATGGGAACATCGCCCCTCCTTTTCATTTTTGGAACCGTTCATAAACTCACTTTTACGGCATTCTTGACCCCCCCTCTCCCCCCCCTCG